AGCTAACAGGCGAGATCAAAGTGGCATACGTAGCTCTGCTATGCAGAGTGCAGCATGGTAATTGCGAGGCTTTTAATTAGCCCGGCACCATCGCATTACAAACAGAATTATCTACGGCCAGGCTAATAGACCGGCGGCTTGTTAAGCAAGCCGGTACGAAAAGTTAAGTTCGGTGAAAAATAAATGAAAACTACCCGTTTTAGTCTATCCAACTAGAGCTCAAGCTTAACGATAATGAGGCTATTAATCGTTTAATCATGCTTTTTTATTAATTCTACTTACATGCCTGTTATTCTAGCTTATCGTGCAATTAAATTGAAAATTCAAGAAATAAATTCTTGGAATTCTGTCAATTTAAAGCATTTATTAAAAATACTACGTTTTGCCGACTTCAAACGCCACCTTTAGGTACATATAAAGTTTTTAAAACTTTTCAAAAGCGTCCCAAATTACAACACAAGACACGTTAAAGAAGAAAAAAATTAAAAAACGTAAAATTAATATACAGAAAGGCTTACTAGTTGGTAAAAGTTATTTACCTAACAAAGGCGGAAAGTGATACTTTTCCGCACGCGACGCCAGCAAGATATAAGGTTTTTTCTAATTGGACAGCGCGAGAAAATAATACACCCAGAATTTTAAATAAGTACTACGTTTTAATAGAAATTTAATAATTGTAAAACCAACATTTTTTTATTTATACTGCAACTACCACGAAGGCCTAAGGCCTAAACACCCACTAAGGTACCGTGGGGCTATAGGGGGATACAGGGGAAAGGGGGAACGCCACACGGACTCTGGCGAGGGAACACGTGCGCATGCAACATGCCCCATCTACGAGATCCGCCGTGTGGTACCTCTGCGTTCGACAGTCAGAAACCGTCTACCACCTACGGACACTCACAACATCCATAGCCCTGGGACGGGGTTCGAACCCGCACAGCGCACGGCGACTGATCAGGAGACCGAAAAGTCTACTACTGCGGCCACCTGAACAACAACAACATTAATAATACATTTATAATAATTATTAACCATGTTAAAAGTAAAATGACAGTTATTTGGATTATGAAAACGTGTAGGCGCTCTCTTAATAGAACTAGTGCCGCCTGCGTCGCTTTCTTCTAAAAATGGTATGCGTGCGGAAAAGCTATGCGTGCAGAAAAGTGCTACTTTCTACACGCTGGTATAAAATAGTTATTTGCGTGAAAAGTGCGGAAAGTCATACTTTTCTGAACGCGATGACAGTTGCACGAACGACGCGAAGCACAAAATGAACTGTCACTATACTAATTTTCTTAAAATTTGACCGGTTGACAAATTCCATACGTCTTGTACCTGGTAAGTACCCGGTACAAAACTTATGGAATAGTAACAGTTTTACTTAAACAAAGGACAAAGAATTGTTTTCTTTTCAGAGATATTCATGTATTTTAGGATTGTTATTAACAACTAAATAACAGTGCGTCAAGATAAATTGAGCTAAAAGTAATATTTGCGATCTTGGACGGAAAGCTTTAAATTTCGATTTAGTAATCTGAAAAGTAACAATTTAACCGAGCTTTGGACAAGGCCATTGTTAGTGGATTTTTCAGACATTGAAAGTGGTCAAGTTTAGATAAAACTTATCAAGGACCTGTTTTATTCAGGATGATCCAAAAAAACTTGCAAACCCCGAAGCGAAAACCACTCTTAACAATGTTTAACAATGGTTAACACAAATGCACAATTACCAATTATTCCTGTAGAGAGAGTACAGTAAACACAGCACTGGCAAGCATTTTACTACAATTTGCTCTCTAAAAGAGCTTTTTAATTTTCTCCTAGCATTGTTGCTCGTTTTCTAATTACCTTATTCTCAAATAACTCCAAGCACACTGGGCTAGGATCAGCAATTTTAGCACCGTCTTGAAAAAACTGTTCGTAATTATTTCACTGGGTTCATCGTCCTTTTTGTACTGATAATGCTTTAGTCTAGACGTGATCGAATCAGGACATTGTTTTTAATAAATCCAAACGCTTTCCTTACTTGACCGTACGATCTGATATAAATGTTATCTTGTAAAGCTGAAATGATCGTCAAAGTAACCCCTAACTCAAGATCGCACAAAAAAGACTTCAACAACCTTTGCGGACCCGCTCAATAACAGACCAAAAACTGTTTCCGATGAAATAGGCAGGAAGTTGAGAACTCTTATGGTATGGATAACCAGGATTACCAGTGAACTCAAAAAGTAACAAACATCACTTTAGACGATGATACAAAATTTGCTGTTATATTCAATTTTCCTGCCAAAAGTAATAGTAATTGAATGACATTACTGTATCTTGATTTATTTTTGTATTTCGACTAAATGTGTAATGCTTATGTTACAACAGAATTTCTTTGAAGCGTCTTCTCATGTATCAAAGAGACTCAGAAGTTAGCCCTTAAATATCGGAGTGGATCACAATGCACACAGCAAATGGACCTTTCTGGAGAAAGAAGGCGGATGAGGTTTTGCTGAGGACCAAGTTCTTTTGCGATACTCTTTTTACTTTATAATCCACAGAGTATATGATGCTGAGTCGCCCCTTCGCCTTCGTGTTTCATTCTTGATGGAATTTTAACTAAACCGAAGAACTTTTTTATTATCATGGAAATAGCTTTCAATCAGTTACTACTAAATAATTAATTGCCCTTTGGGAACCCTATTAACTTCATTACGATCCTTATTCTTATCATATATTCCGAAAACTTGTTCGTTTGTAATGATCTACTAACAATATCTCTGAAACAAAGTGGCATCGAAAATCGATTAAGAGCAGATCACAGATGGTATCAGTACTGTCAATAATGTGGAAAGAAAGGGTATCTTGAACATCTCTAACAGAAGTTCACGTCCATGCACACTTGCGTAAAGCAGTACCGTACTCACCACGGTAGAACTGTAACGAAAACTGTTGAACGTCTAATTTATTACCTCTACACTAATTCATAACACAAGGAACTAATTTATAACAAATATATGAATATGTCTGTACTATTATACCATCTTAATTCTGCGCTCGCTGACCACTGGTTTGTCTGTGTCTCGGCTGTGACTCGCTACTTCCGCCATCTGGTCGGGCTTTTATGTGGTGACTTGATGGTTCCCAGCATTTTCTCGCAAAAACTGGATTGCTTTTAGATAGCGCCGCAAGCACTCACACACGTGAACGCAATCACTCTCGAAGCTTCGCAAGCTGTGATACATGATGGTGTAACTCTGGTTGCCTAACGCTGACATCGCGAGGCCGTTCCACCTACCCACGGCCCCAGCTATACAAGGGCGTTACACTTCAAATATATGATCAGCGTAGCTGTTGACACCTGCAGATAACCGATTTTCTACTGTAGCAAGCCAACGTTACGAAATTTTCAACAGAACTTGCTATCACATCTCAGGCAAGAAGGGGACAATAAAATACCCTGCAGTCCAAAACAAGGAATGAAGGCAGATAGACACCAGTAGCTTTTCATGCCTCCATTCACATGACTTACCATTACTTTGTCAAAATTGTACTTTTTGTAAGAAGAATTTCCACATTACTGAAAAAAACTTCTTAACTCCCATCTGTAAGTCATCTATCCCGAAATTGATGGATTGCTTGATGAATAACTCTTTACAGAGTAAATTTAAAGGCATTATTGTCAATCAACGTCACGGTTTTTGACAGGGTAAGTCATGTTGTACCAACCTGATGTTATACAGTAACTATTTGTGCAATTCAATTGAGCAAGGCCAGCAGATGTACTCTGTTTATTTGAATTTTTTCTTAAACGTTCGATAGTTTTAACCATTCGACAGTCAAATTTCACGGTCATGATGTTCAGGGTCAGCTCTAGAATTAAATAAGTAGTAACTGTGGGTGTACACCTGGAAATATTCATGTTATTTCTGGAGTTCCACAGGGTTCCCATGTAGGTCCTTTGTTATTTCGTATACTCATTAATGATCTTGTGTGTTTGGTACGAAATTCTTCTCTTTGCGGATGATGTTAAGATCTTCAGAGTTATTGGGAGCAATCATGATTTTAAATTGCTACTACTACTTGGACCATCTTTCTATTACTTATTCTTATAACATCAACGGTAGATATTCTCAAACTAGAGACCAGATCAAGGACTTAGGAGTTATTTTTGACTCAAAATTATCATTTAACTTACATATTGGAGAAACAATCAACTGTGCAAGTAAGGTGCTAGGTTTTATGAATCGCCATTGTGTTGGACCTATCAAATTTTTCTTTTAAAATTTTGTATTGTTCTTTAGTTCGTTCGTTATTTGAGTATTGCTGCTTCATCTGGCCCCCAAGTTATAACTACAGATCAATCAATTGGGGTGTATGCAAAGTTGTTTTTTTAGATTTGATGGATATGAAATGGGTGTCATCAGTATAGTTATACAAGTACTCTTCTTCACATGAGTATGACTTTTCTTGAGCGATGCAGGTTGGAATTTGACTTACTTTTCTTGAACAAAATTATCAATAGTCACATTGATTGTAATCAAGTGTTAGAAAAAAATGGTCTTAGCGTGAATCGTAGGATATCGCGAGATACTGATGCTTTCTTTGTCCCCTTTTATCAAACAAATTATGGCTTTAATGAACTCATGAGTCATCTTCTTAGATTAGGTAGTAGATATAGATCTAGTTTAGTAGTATTTGGTAGTTCAGTTGATGAGTTTCAACAAAGTGTTAAGAACATTACAATATTAGTATTTAAATCAAGACTGTTTTGTATTTGTAACAAGGATTTTACCCGTTGATTAATTGAATAAATAAATGCTCTTATAAATATACTGGAGTATGCAGAAAGTGTAATATACTCCAAGAAAACATGTAAAATGAATAAAAGTTACTCAGTTGATATACATCTATACACACAAAGCTTATTTCCTGCCAGAGTTTTTATAGTTTTTATATTGTTGGAGGTTTGTTCGTACAGTGGTCGGTGACCTTTCGATGACTATGTCAAGGACCCGGACGCGTGAATGGAGGGAGTTTGTGTTAGCAGTTATCTTGTAATGCACTAGTCTTTGGCTAAAACATGTTTCGTTTGTTTCAGATACCGAATTTATCTACAAAGATGAACACGGAGGCGTCACGCTGTTTGACGCAGATAATTTGACCACAACGGTGGTCATGACTAATATAACTTTTGTAAGTATGCAAATAGTAAATATATAAATAATTAATGAATACGGAACCATTCAAAAAGGTATTAGAATTATTAAAATATAAACGATCAGAGATCCAGCACAAAACATCTTTTAACACAGAACATTTTCCTGAGTGAAACCATGAACTTTTCCCACAAATTACACTAATATCTTGTTTGAAATACTTTACGAATTATACTTCAACATTTTTGTGTAGTTACAATTATTTTTATAATTAGTATCTACGGCGTCAACAGCTTCCGTCAAGTGTCCGTTGTATACGACAAAATCGTAAAAAATGTTGAGTTTAATTACCCATATGCACTATTATTTTGAAAAGTTATTAAAGGAAGGTCAAAATCGAAAATGATTGCCGGCAGTAAGATCCTGGCAGGTAAGAACGGTTTCTATTAAAACAAATCTGTCAACATACCTACTATAAAATTATGAATCTACTGTCCGTTGTCTGAACACTAATGAATTATAATGGAAGAGTTTCTAAAAACATTACTCTGAATTATTAACTAGAAGTCAGTCATACAGCACAAAATTTAATTTATTAGCGTAACGACCATGATTCACGCAATAATCAAAGTCCTATAACAATGATAATACGTAACATTAGCGTTAAATTTTATTCATGGAATGGAAAATACGAGTTAATAAATTCCGGTTTTGTAAATGTTAAGGCTTTTCATAATAATACCAAAACAAAATCGCAAATCACTTGAGGTCACTGGATTCTCCATTGTGAAATTTATTTAATTACCTATAATACACATGTACAACCCGAACAACCATTGTACATACAGGGTGCTAGAAATACGTTTACTGTCCAATTTTGCGATCTAACCTCATCCTTCCAATAATAAAAAAGTTGCATGTACGAGTTGCTATTTTATTACATTATATATTTGTCAAGAATTAATCTTTTAATCTGTACGATTATATTTATTTCAACTATTAATGTGTTTGTTTTGTTCTCTTTTTCGTCATGCCACCAACTTTCTGTGTGAGCACAGATGGGGTGGTACATTTAAAGTCGGCGAGTATAGAAAGGATAATTATAACCATGCATCACGTACGATTTGATTTCTAAAGAAAACCACATTTTTGGAACTGGGATATTATATTTTGCCCATTTCGCTCATGTCCGTCGGTTGGTCCGTTTGTCTATCTGTCTGAATGAGAAGTTTTGTACTTTGGTATTATTTTTATTTTGTTAAAAAAATACTAAAATATAGTTGGGGTAAGAGTGGTTAGTGATTACTGGGTGTTACCGGTTATACCTACTCAATGTTCCGATAAAACTGTGACTAATAAATATTTATGATTTTCAGCATTTATTATTATTGTCGTTATATCTATCTTGAAAATGAAAACTTATCTTTTCTACTAAATAAGATAATATACGGGTTTGAGGAGCAAATGCCTCGCCAAGTACAGCTCCGGGTCGGGCTTTTGAATTTTATGAAATGGCAACCCTAGCTACGTAGCCAAATCTTTTTCGAAAAATAAACGCATGCACTTTCATTATTCAATTATATTTTGAGAAAGTTCTCAAACAACAAGTTTATAACACATGTATTATGGGAATTTATTAATATATGACTAGATGTTGGCAATAAAAAGAAAATGGATTTTATTAATTTTTTTCTGATACTCCAGCTATACCTTCAACAAAATTAAAAATGCTACTCTGAAGTCTGGAAGATACACAAGGCCCGTTATCGAATCTAAAGATGAGAGCAAGCTGGAGTGAAAAAGTATCCGTCCCGGATTTGCCCTAATGAGTGTGTATTTATAGCGTCTTCTCCCCCGTTTCATGCGTTTTGATCCGACGTTTCTTCCGGGAAATCCGGAAGTTGCGGAATATCGATTCCGTCTCCGAGCAATTTATGGTTTATCGCGATGATGGAAATCGCTGGCAAAATAACCATTCACCTCTTCTACAATGATTACACATCTATATAATGAGCTTGAAGTGACATAAAATTAACTCACAGACACAAACAGACCGAGAACTTATAATGGAGTATGACCGAATTGAACTGCTAAATTTCTTTTAAATATGTGCTTGTCGCGAAAGATCGATTCCGCTCAATTTCTGGTCATTATGAAAAAATACAATCAATGTTTTTATTTCGATGTTAGCTTAGGAAGACCTAAAATAAACTCAGAGAGACAATCTGACCTCAAATTCGGATGCAGTCATCTCAAATACCGGCATAAATGTGACCTACAAACGTTCTCAATGGGATTTACCTCTTCTGTCCCATTTCTTTTATCACGTTTCGAGAAATGCGGACATTGCAGAAGACTGTTCCGGCCAATTTTTGGAGTAACGCGCTAATTGCAATCATTAGGAAAGTAACATTTTACTTCCGGCATACCAGGAGGAACATATTATAATGCTACATAGATTTAAATTAAAGCGAATTCATGGTTGGTCAGGGAATAGTCAAATCTGAAAAAATTGATTTAAAGTCATAAATAAAATTAAAGTTTCGAGAATCCAGTTGAAGTTGACGATCCGGATATAAAAAGTTCTTAAATCATCAATTACGACTGTAAAGATTAGATTCTCATGACGACGGGAGTGATTTTGTAGCATTATCTACGAAATAAGAAGAAAACGAACGTTTTTGTCCACCTGGTGATCAAAGATCGGCAGCACAACTGTTAGACAAGCGACCTTATCAAATTTAAGGCTACTCGTATCTACTGAATATCAAAGTCTATCTATTTGCCTACTTTTTTTTCAGCAGCTGTGGAAGCTTTTAGAATCCAAAGAAAATTCCTGGTTAAATCCAACTGGAGTCCTAGGAAAGAATATTACTGAAACCCAGTTTCGTATGCTTGCATTCATAAAACTCACTGCTCACAGACTTTAATTTTCTACTAGGTTGCAAGTCACTTCAGCTAGCATTTTAGTTGATCTGCTTTAAGTTATGAGGTTTGATTTTTGAAAATGTTGTAAATCCTGAAAAAGGGAAATATTTCGACAAAATTTCTAATAAAAAGACTGACAAAGTCGTTATACAATAGAGGTTATATTGATACAATTAATAAAAATATACATAAGGTGGGTGGACCAAGGAAGGCCACGCCACGCCAATTATTAAAAAGTTGTAGTTACCAAGCGATTGCAAATTCCTTCAACACACACTTACACCCATCGAACTCAAAAACACAGACGCGATAACGGGTCGCCCGCGTCGTTATTTTTTCAATGCGGTCCCTTTGCTGACATCGGTCGTCGACGTTGAAATTATAATCCTAGCTAACAGCAAAACTGTAGTTTTTATATAAATTAATATTTCCTTTAATCTTCTTCATGACCATAGAATTCTAACGTCATCTGGAACATTTTGGTCTTACATAAGATCATTGTGATCTGCTGGAAATGTTTTTGAAAAATTGATACATTCTTGGCGTTTAGGTTCATTGGGTATTTTTACGCGAACATATGTAAGTATATATTTGATATTTTATTTTAATCTAACGTCTTCATGTTTAGTTTATTAAAAGCAGATATGTTGATCAAAACGTTAGGTTCAAGTTAGAATTATTTATTATTATTATTTACTATGTAAGGTCTCCTATGGAGCCTTATTCCTTGCAAGGCCGTTCAGAAGTGTTTAATAAAACTTGAATAAAGAAAGGATTGTTTCTCCAATAAAAAAATAGTTACATGATAGAACAAAGTGTTATAAAATGATTTATATGTTTCATTATTCCAATAATAAAGGAATAATAATGCTTACTTGTCCGCCCAGCTTATCTTCACAGATTTTTCTCAATTCCACAATATTGAACTTCATCAACCTTATGGTTGTATCAGCCGGTCTATGTCGGCATATGTGAAGACACATCAACCGATTCATATATCGGCAAATCAGGCCAATAATGCCGATATACAACTACGGGCTTTTGAAAAACCTTTATTTAACTTTGCCGGACAGGTTATAATACAATATTATTTGTCACTCGACAGAAAAACTCTACTCATCATGTCGGGCCTTGATGTTTCTCTCAGCATTTTCTTCTTTTATGTGTATCCTCGCCTGCATCATAACTTAAATATCGTTACTAGAGATTGCTTTTGGATCCAAGATTATTTATATTGAACATTATTAACCTGTTTTCCTGCAGGATAAATCCATTACCATAGTATCCATGTTAGCAAATTATTACAAATATGTATTCAGAGTGTCAGCGTGGCCTCTGCGGTTGAGCTGGAGAAAAGAAGATATCAATACAGCTTCTGGTCCGGACTTGATTCCTGCCGTTGGGGTGGAGAGATGTGCAGCAGAGGTTGCACTAGTTCTTTCGCGTCTCTTCCAGGTATCTGACGAATCCGACACTTTTCCAGAAGACCGGAAACTTTTTCATGTCCAGCCCATCGCGAAAAAAGATCTGAGACCAGCCTTGACACCTAGGTCTATAGCTGTTATAAATAGCATAAAAATAATAATAATAATAATGTTTATTGTCACAAAATACAGGTAAATATCAAATATTGTGCACAATAAACATAAAGCACCCAAAAAAAGTTTACACTTGTGTTTGGGTTTGTTATAAATAAAAACTAATAGTACAGTCAGTGTATGAAAGAAAAACCGTTAATACTGTATAATTTGGTGAACTATTATGGTAATGTCAGGAAAAATATCCAGACAATTATAACTAAAGTAAAAGTATGGTTGTTAGTGTAAGTAAAATATTATTGATTTTGATAATGATTTTTCAGATCTACAATTTCGATGGATTTTTTTAGTTCTTTTTTAAATGATTTATTTGATTTAATTACTTTTAATCACTCTGGTATGAAGTTATAGAATTTTGGTCCCAAGAAAAACAGAGATCGTTGTGTAATGGTTTTTGATGTTTGTGGAATACACATAGAATTTTGATTGAATCTTGTCATGAATGGTACGATTCAAGTATTTCGAACATTTGAAATAATGTATTAGACCACAATAAAAATAAATTTGTCTG